ACGTTTTGCCCGTTGTGGGTTCACGTGTGTGTGTGTGTGTGCGCTCATGGTCTGCTTCGTGTACACAAATAATTTTCACTGCCCCCTTTATCCTCATCATCAGCCACAAATGTGGCTTTACGAATTTAATGTGGAGGTCATTACTGTACTGCGGCGATAATGATTGTTTTCATAATCCCGACAAAATGCCTTGATTTTAAGACAACGCCCATTGCATTAATTTCAATCCTTTGTTTTACCAAATACAATTAAGGCACCTACGTGCATATTCAATTCCAAAAGGGATTAGTTACACATTTTCCACTTGTATTTAGTTGCAAGACTGCTTGGTAGAAATCTACGTACTTGGAATACGAAATATGCTATGGCAGACATCACTAAGCAAAGTGAATCTTTGTTGTATTACAGTTTAAATACAATGGATGCATTTATCTCAGATTTGCAGTCAGAAAAAAATCCCTTGTCTTTGTTACAGCCAGGTTATATGAGGCATGGGCGTTCCATTGTTATTGTGCATAAAATAAAATATTATCAATGTACTGTGTGAATTAACATTCCGCCCAGCAGACCCGGTCTTAGTGCGGTTTTGTCTGGCGCTCTGAAGTGCCACGGCTTTGTCCATGTATGTATGTGTATACGTGTATGTATGTGTATACGTGTATGTATGTGTATACGTGTATGTATGTGTATACGTGTATACGTGTATGTATGTGTATACGTGTATGTATGTGTATACGTGTATGTATGTATGTGTATACGTGTATGTATGTATGTGTATACGTGTATGTATGTGTATACGTGTATGTATGTGTATACGTGTACGTATGTGTATACGTGTATGTATGTGTATACGTGTATGTATGTGTATACGTGTATGTATGTGTATACGTGTATGTATGTATGCGTGTGCGCGTGCAAATCAAATGGAACTTTTAAGTTACGTGCATTTAAAACTTTGCGACAAGACAGTGTCTTTACCCAGAGATGACATGTGTTTAAATATAAACTTGTGTCGGGTGAATAACGTACATTTTTTTTTAGTCGTTATGTTGGTCACGTCGACAAAAAACCTTTGGATGTCTCGGTCTACATATTTATACGTGTGTATATTTATTTATACGTGTACATATCTGCATATTTAATTGGCTCATTCTTTCCACAAACCCCCCGCCCTCCCTCCCCCATTAGCACGGTTGGCTGCGTACGGTGCAAAAGAAGTTCAACATGCATACATACAACTAAAGCATTAAAATGCCGATTTCACTTTTTGTTATTTCTTCATCGCCATCTTCATGTGCCTGACGTTGATGAAGAGCAACAGTTGTCATTTTGCATTGAGGTGTGTTGAGCCGGATAATTTTTGCCCCTGGAGATGCGGCGGTGGAGTGTCACTGTGATGAAGCCCTCCTCCTTCCTATCTGTGAACCACAGACACTGGAGCCGTAGTTTGTTCTGGGGCGTGACCGCAGTCGCACTCTGCCTGAGAGTGTTGTGTTTTTTTTGTTTGTTTTCCGTTTGGGCATCAAGTATCCCCGCTCCTGCCCTTGCCATGGTTTGTGCAGTGGCTGCGGTTGAGAGCTGTTGCCCGTCGAGCATCGCGGACGATCAGAAGTCCTTCTTTGTTATTAAATGTTGGTGACATGAGTGCGCAAATCCCACCCCTCCCCCATATAATGAGGTCAGCAAATCAATGAGCTTAGTAAATCTTTATTTTATTCTTAGCTCTTTCGGTAAAGTCACTTTGAAAGAGCTAAGAATATGAATTACTGCAGTCACGGAAGCCTTAAATCAACATTTTTTTTTTAGAGATGTACAGCCAATTACCATTTTTGGTCTCTGACAGTTTACTGCAGTCTCTTCATGGCGTTCATTTTCTCTCGTCATTGGTCTCTGGTGGGTAGCTGTAGTCATCGTCAATCTCCATTCTTTTTGTCCACTCATAGTCATCGCTTTTTTTTTTAAACCCCTCCGTTTACGAATTATTTCGTCGCGAATTTTGTCAACAAACATACCACTTGTAGTACTTATGTATCTTAGTTGAACGTCTTTCACACCTTACGTAGCTAACTATTGGTCATCGGAGGTGCGTGGCCTCTGGGAAAAAAAAATCTTCCTTTTGTTAGGGATCCCAACGTAAACATTTTAGAAAATCAACATAATTATTTTTTCTTTGTCATGTGGTTGAGGGTGTATTTGAAATTCAGGGATTTGGACTACAAGCGGATGAACCCAATGGCCTACTATTTTTAATTATGTTTACAGAGTCTTTTGTGTGTACATATTACAGCCGGCAGTGTTCTTTGTAATGGTCTATAACCAGACCGACCAATTGTGGGAATTTAACCATTGGCTGGATAAACGTCCCCTCGGAGAGATTTGCATTGCCCACTGCACTCTCCTGACACGTAAATAATATATGCTTTGAAAAAAGGTAAGAGGCAGATTCAGAGAGCCCCTTTTAGAGGGTATTTTGGCCAAATCTTCCACGTTGACCAAACGTCTTGAGAAAGGTGGGAGTACTCACAGTTCACCCCACCGCACGTGACCTGCAAATGGACTAACCCATGGTCATACCCATCTATGCTGCTGGGTGGACAGGAGGGTAAATCATATCGAATCGGCGACCTCTGGATTAGCAAGTCCCGGTGTGCTAACCCTTACACTAAGGTAGCATCCCCACATATATACTGTAATACATTGTGTATTATATAGATTTTTTTTTATCAGTTGAACGGCACTTGCCAAACCCTGAGGATGAGATTTTTTGGAATCTGCTTCGAAGAACGATCCACTTGGTTTTCATTCCATTGTACTTAAAAATATATATTTGTTTCAGACACCTATAAATGTATTCTCTGGGCCATAAATCTCTGCTAACAATGGTGTGTGTATACACGTGGGTGGAATCGTGGTGGTGGATATGCTCACCTGAATTATACTATCTATTTCTGCTAATGTCTTGCGAACTAAAGCTGTGGATTAATTAGAAGACGTGTAAATAATAACTGGCAAAATAATAGTATGAACACTACATTTGGGTCTGAACGCTTTTGTCTAGTTAACAGGAAAATGATATGTATGCTATATATATTTGAATGTGTTTCCTGCCTTTAATAATAAGTGTGGACCTATTAATTTAATTCATTAACAAATCCCCAGAATCACTTCCATTGGCATCAAATTATTCACTGAGCATGAAACAAGTGTGGAATGTGGGTGAGCTTCTTTTGTGAACACTGCTTGTTCCATTAAAATCAGGGCCCTCCTGATTAATCAGATGAAGGTGAAGTTGTTTTAATTGTGGAATTCACGACACAAATGAATGCAAAGCACATATCGTGTGTCCTCGGTAGTACGGACTGGGCATTCACTTCCTCTCCACAATCCCCTTCACCGCTTGCTTTCAATGTGCCCCCCCCGACTCTGCTGCAAGAATGATGAAGTGGATTTGTTGGCAGCTTGACTGAAAAAAGCTATGTTATTAATGTAATTAAAAGGCACGAGTGCACTTCTCTCGGAAAAGAGTGTTGCGTTGCAATGATTATCGCAATATTATTTTAGCATGAAGACTTCATTGAGTCTCGTGACAATTTTTCAGATGGGGTCCCATGAGTATCCTCGTTCGGTGGCGTTATTCCTGCGTGTCATCCCAATTGAGCGATTTGCAGGGTCACTTTCAGCGTTCGGATGTTTGGCCAACGCCATTTGCGTCGTATTAATGTTTGAGCTGCGTAAACCGGAAACCAGAGCACCTTAGAGAAACGTGCAGTTCGGGGGGACAGCGTACAAACTGCACATGGAAAGGTGGCCAAGTCGTCAATCGAACCAAGGCGCCCCTACTTGGTGTAAGGCACAGGTGTTACCGCTGCGCCACCCTGCCACCTGTTATGATGACAATGAGTGTTATTATTCAGAAACACTGAGTTAAAAAAAAAACTATTTCTGGACGGCCCTGCATTCGGATTATTGGCCAGTTCCATGAATCAGTGTTCGGCTTTAGGCGCAGGAGTGAATCAGAGGATCTGAAGAGACCCTACTCATGCGAGGGTTAACGCTCCCCTCTGCCATCCCCTGAGCACCTCAGCCTCACACCTACAACAGTTTGAAAGCCCCGAGCGGTCAACCATCTGAGTGATAAAACAGGATCAACCTGCTTAGCTTGCGAGGTCTGCCGAGTTCACATTCATTCATGGTGAATTGGTTGTACGGTTGGAAAAGCGGTTTGGAGCAGCTGGGGATCGTGAGGACAATGAATAAACAAAACGGAACAGATAAGTGTTCCTGACCTCATGACTCACGCGAGTGTTCGAAGGTGTGTGATTATCCATGCGTCGCAACACAATGAGTGGGACAGGAGGTGGATAACCAACGTAAAGCGCACAAAAATTGTTTTGTTTTCGTGTTTTTGAAATAAATTATCTGCCCGTCTCTCCACGTAGAAAACACCAGTTGGCGGCGCTTGCAAAAAGGAAATCAAGCAAAAGCCTAGGGCCCTGAACAACGAGAGGCCCCGGATTCATGAAAACAATAGGGGTGCATCAATTACAATCTCAACATCAAATTATAATGAACATACAAAGCTCATTAACATGAAATCCAATTAAACCTCTCATCTATAGCTCGCCTGCATCTCTCTTCTCTCATATCACTGCATCTCTACTCTCGTCTAATATTTATCTCATTACGCCACATCTTTACGTCTCGTCTATGGTATTCATCTCTTCCTTGATCTCACGAGGATTTTATGAATACAAAATTTGGCACTCCCAAAAATAGTTTAAAACCAGGCAAAATCTCGCGGACCCCAAGTAACTCAAGGTTGGGATGGGGAGGTGGGTTTGTGGGCCCAGATTCATGAAAAAATGATCGGGGGTGCATTCAATATATTAATAAATAAAACGCGCTTAGGCCACCCCCTGTGGGTTCGCATCAACACTGTGCAGCGTGCTTCATTAACAGCCGATGTCCGTGTCTCCTTTTTTTCTCTCTTCTTTCTGCAGAACCTGGAGGAGCAGATAGAGCAGCAGTGGCCAGCAGTGGTAGCCCTTGGCTCAGCGGGCGAGGAGATAAGAAGGCAGTGCTCCCCGGCGGACGCGTGTGTTCTTCGCGAGCGCCTCGCTGAGGTTCAGCGCCGCTGGCAGGAAATCTGCTCAGCGGTCCCTCGCTGCCTCGAACGGTACGAGAACGTCCCGGCGGTCGGAGCTTCCCGCAAGACGGGTCGCATCTCTGATTTATCGACTCCTCGATGAGCGACGCCGTCCCCTGTAGATATCGCGGCGGGTACCGCTTTATTTATTGCGCGCGCGCTTTCGTTCGTAATGGACACGTAAAACAACAACAAAAATAACGCACTGGCTCTCCTATATAGCACGCACACACACGTGGATTTCTATACGTGGCTGTGCGTTTATGTGAAATTACACTCAGTGCTTGCCACAAATGAACCACAATACCGTGTTGATCTCGTTAAGGAGCATAAACCCTTACGAAAACTCTGGTCATCCTTGCAGCAGCAGCTTTTGGTTCGCTATCCTGCGCTTTTGGATGCATTTCTGCAGCTGTCTGGAATGCTCTTCCTTCCGAAATCAGAAAATATTTAGATCTATGCACTTTTAAATTTAGATTTAAAACGAATTTCTTTAGAACTGCTTTTCATGTTTAGTTTGTTGTCCTTCCCCCGCACCTCCGAGTAGCACGGTTGGCTACGTACGGTGCGAAAGAAGCTCAACATGTATATGTAACCTACACAGGGCTGATGGGGCAAGAACTGTTGGCGACCGCCTGTGAAGGCCAGCATGGCTCACGAGGGGTGTGGTGTGGTCAGTAGCATTGCCCAGCTGCCTTATGCTTACCCACAGCACCAGGTTATAATTTTTAGGTCGAGTGAGGCCTACAGAATTCTGGATAATCACCACTTATTTTCGCCATGGCTGGGAATCAAACTCTGGTGCGCTGGCTACTCACCGAAGTTCTCTAACCACTGCGCTATAATGCAGCGCACATGCATCCGATAAAATTTCAATTTTAGGCACTTTCATCATAGCAATACATCCCTTACCTCTGATGGTGTACACAATAGTCTAGTAATTGGCACAAACAAGCATTTTAATTAGCTTTTTTCCATGAGTGCACATTTGTATACATTCGCTTTTCACATGACTGGTTTAATTAGTACACAAATCCTGTTCTGCATTGCCACTATACAGTGCCTTTGTTAAATGTTGTCCGCTTTCAGGGCCTCTCATAAGAGGACAGTAGTCTTAAAAAGGGAAAATAAAATAAGTGAATATGTTGCTCTAAAAAAATATTGTAGGCAAGATTGAGGATGAATGGACTTCATTAACACTCTGTGGAAAGGTTGCCCGCATTGTAGTTTTATTTTCATGTTTCTGTCACTTTAATTTCCTGATAGATTTTCATGAATATATTTATAGTTTCTCTACACTGCCAAGAATTATGACTGAATTAACATGCAAATATAGAAACTAGTGAATCTCTCATGTAGGTGGCTTTCATCAGGGCCGCATTAATGCTCTATTTGTTCTTGCGGTTTTTCCCCACCACGTGATTTTGCACTTTCCTTTCCCCTAACAAAGCGCATTTCTATTATGAGGCTACACTTTTATTCAAGGAGCGGTTGTGCACTCACCAGGGGCGTGAGTAGCGCTTCAGCTCAGGACAAAACCCCGGGCCGTTTCTGTGCCAGATGTTTTACTCAATTAGAGCTCCTAAATGACTCAATTCCTTAAGCCAAATGTTTTCGTGGCAAGTCACATTCATCATCCTTAAATTTAACGGTCGCGCTGCAAAAAAAGCAATGCTCTTTTTTTTTGTTTTAACAAAGCATTGTTTTAGCAGATGAAATAAAACCCCGTGCGTGCTCGCGCTCTCTCGTAGGCAATGCGAACGCACGGATTCACGCAAGCGCATCATTGTGATTATTATAATCATCTAAATTAATCTTTTGGTTAAATTTCGGCTGAAAGAAATCCCACCCAGCTTAGCAGTGAGTGTTTAATTCTAGCAGTCGTTTAGGATGGGACGGTCTGATAATTTACAGAACGTTTCAGAAGATTGCGTTTATGTTATGTCGCACACACGCACACACACATGAACGTACCAGTTTTCCCCATTGTACATTTGCTACGCCGAGCACAGCACTGTGGACCATTTTCACATCGGTGTGGCGTATGAGGGAGTTAGGAATATTGCGCTGATAAGCGCTGATAAGCTGCCACATTCTTGAGATGCCTATCAGGGAGGTGATCGTGCTCGCAGTGGCAAAGGAATTCACTGTCGGGGAATGACGTTGGGGAATAACGTGCTGAATAATCGTTGTCATCGAACGCAACTGATGCAGATATACGCCAAGGGCGAACCAAGAGTCGCCCTTTGCTTTTATTGACAACCAGTGGGCTCCGCTCTGCATTTGTTGAGGGCAAGCAGTATGTTAGCCCATAGTTCCGCGGCAGAGGAGTTCGTCAGAAGGTCATCAGCACAGGTCAGCCTATCGTATGCCTTACACGGAGGCCATTCGCGCCATTGGATTACACACATGAGCGCCCACTAACGAGCACCTTATCGTCGCGCGAAAAGTACACGCCCGACAAACGTGGCTCGTCAGACTTTGGGACCCTCCGTATGTGGCAGACCATCGTTTCCGGTGATGAATTGCGGTCCATTTGTCTCGAGTCAGGTGGGTGTGTTTGGCTTAGGCTGGCAGGGGGACGAGTTTGAATGCGGGCAGCAAATACGGGGAGAGCGCTTTGACGGCGGTGGGAGGCGCCACGGTCGTTTGGGCTCGACCCTGCCACGCAGATTTAGACCCGTCAACAATGCCGCGTGGCGCCGCGTGGCGCTGCCGCGTTTTTGCTCGGGAGCCCTCTGTGGCCCCGTTCTGCCAGCTTCCGCCAGCTTCCGCGAGCCTCCCCCTCCACGGCACGCGTGGCGCACGCTGCGGCGGAAGCGACCGCAAGGCTCGCACCGAACTCAAGGGGTCCAATTATTTTTCTCCCCCCCCCCCCATTGCAAGAAAATCTCGTGGCTGTGCACCCGGGGGCATCATGCGGCGAGGTCACGGAAAGTGTCGCCCCTCGGGGGCGGGGGGGGGGGCGGTGGTGGGGCCCTGGGGGGGGGGGCAGAGCACATGCGTGTCACAGCCTGCTGACGCGCGTATCGCCACAAGTGCCTGCTTGACTCCGCGAGCGCGGGGTCTCGCAGCTGGGGCACAACCACCGCAGGTGTCGCGGGTGTCCGGAGACGCCGACGACAAGTTAAGATACGGCTAAGAGATGCCCGCGAAATGTTGGACAAAAAATTGTGATATTTTTGAGCCCGCGTTTTTTTTTTTGTTCTTCCTGCAACAAGGTGACCTGCCGATTTTGCTGACTACAGAACCGTTAAATACACGGCAGCAAAGTCTGTATGTCCACCACCTGGATAGAGTTCTGTCGGCTAAAGTAAGTTCATTTTAACTCCCATAGAGATCTACCAGCATTAAAACACAATGGGTCACTGTGCATCTGTAATAACAACCAATAACGAACGGGAAGCATTTAGTTAAGTAGGACATCCCCACGATCCAAAGTGTGGCTGTATCGCAGCTGCTGCTGCTGCTCTACAGCCATGGTCACCACGGGACCACGGTCACCACGGGACCACGGTCACCACGGGACCACGGTCACCACGGGACCACGGTCACCACGGGACCACGGTCACCACGGGACCACGGTCACCACGGGACCACGGTCACCACGGGACCACGGTCACCACGGGACCACGGTCACCACGGGACCACGGTCACCACGGGACCACGGTCACCACGGGACCACGGTCACCACGTGACCACGGTCACCACGTGACCACGGCCACCACGTGACCACGGTCACCACGTGACCACGGTCACCACGGGACCACGGTCACCACGGGACCACGGTCACCACGTGACCATGGGACCATGGTCACCACGGGACCATGGGACCATGGTCACCACGGGACCATGGGACCATGGTCACCACGGGACCATGGGACCATGGTCACCACGGGACCATGGGACCATGGTCACCACGGGACCACGGTCACCACGGGACCACGGTCACCACTGGACCACGGTCACCACGTGACCATGGGACCACGGTCACCACGGGACCACGGTCACCACGTGACCACGGTCACCACGGGACCACGGTCACCACGGGACCACGGTCACCACGGGACCACGGTCACCACGGGACCACGGTCACCACGGGACCACGGTCACCACGGGACCACGGTCACCACGTGACCACGGTCACCACGTGACCATGGCTGTGGATCGCTCGCAGGTTTATTCTGTCGCGATATTTGTGGTGCAGAGATTTGTGTTTATTTTAGGGTGAGTGAGTGGGGTGGGAAAAAAAGACCTTGTGCTGCTTTCCTCAGCCGTGTTAGCATCACGGCCGGGCATGTTAAATGCAAGCCCTACGTGCCAGGGTTAGGCTTGTGGAAATTAAGTAGGAAAACGCACAGTACCGACGGAGGAGAAGGAGGAGGCTTGTGTTCCCTAGCGATCAGTGTGCGTTGATCTTGTGTCAAGGTTTCAAAACATCTCAGCAACTACACGGCTTATTCAACAGCCTAATTTTGGAGAATATAAGTAACAACATACATAAGCAAGCTATGTGCCTCATATCTGCCCCTCCACGTAAAAAAATGAAGTAATCATTAGACATCCCATCAGTTGCAGAGCCTTCCGGGAGTGGATAACTTCAGCAATTTTGCCTCATCACAAGCAAATATTGGACCAAAAAGTCAGCAGAGTCAGCCCTGCATGAACCAATGATGGTGAACTGCCAGATGTTAGTGGCAAAGGACCCCCACTCCTTGTTATATAGGGGTCCTCATTCATATAATTAATAAAACATTTTTAAATATATCTTATGCAGAGGGACATATATGGCAAGTAGGTGTATAGTCTGCTTATATATAGTTTATCATCCACTACATTCGGTACGCTGCAAGAGCGAACACTGGAGTTAGAACACATTTGTCAATTTAGGTAAACAGTCCCATTGCATTTGAAGAGTTAGACATTCGCTTTCAAACTTTTGGGCCCCAATTGTAGATCTACAATGATGGAATGACCATTTTGTTCTTTCGCGAACGTTACCTGTGGCAAGATGCCCCCTTGTGAGATGT